GATCGATTTCATATGAATATGGATATGGAGCAAATGAAGGTCGACTAAATTTTTCCTTTAATGGTTGAATTTTCGGGTCAATTGGTTTATTTAATATCTTGAAATCCTTTTTAAAATCTTTTTGCTTCTTTAATGTTTGAAATGGATATAATAAAGTGAATGATGAAGGATTAACTGAAGGAGGAGGCGGTACTGTCGTTGGAGGTTTTGGTGTTGCAAGTGGTTTAATTTTATCTGCTTTGATTTTGGAATTCAATCCTCCCTTCATTAATTCTGGATGTATTTATTCATTTGTTTTAAATATGCTGTATATAAAGGTTTGATATACTTTCCCGCTTCGAGTTTATGTTGAAGGATGAATTCCAAAAGTTGATCTTCATTTAAAAGTCGGGCTGAATATGGTTTAACTAATGAATCATAAATTAAAGCTTGTGCTTCATTTATGGTCTGAAGGACCTGGGCGTTTTGCATCTTTTGTTTTTGTTCCTTTGGTTTTTGCGGCTCAGGATTATATAAATTATATAATTCATCAATATCTTCTTCTGTTAATACTTTATTTTTGAAATCTTTCAACTGTTTAAGTTGTGATTTAGTTTTTCCCTTTGTATATTCATTATTTTTAATTTTGTCTTTAATTTTAGAAATTATTCTATCATGATATTTCAAAATTTCATTTTTATAATATGGATGATAATATTCCATATCATCACCCGTTATATTGTTATCATATTTTTGGAGATATGCTTTTAAATCATAATAATTAAGAAAATTTTGATTAAATACTAAATCATCAATTAAAATTTTTAAATCTGTGTTATTCATTTATATAAAAATAAAATCAATGTTTTAAGGGTGCCCACCTCTTTGAATCATAGTATCAAAACCATCATTAACGGTTCCTTTTGTCTCTTCTGTGGTATTTTATTAAATAAATGGCATACAACATCCATTTTCACAACATACAGCCTTAGTGTGTGCTCCTGTTAATGCAGTCTTACCAATTGTTAAGCGAGTCATTGACCCATTTTAAGTTGTAAATTAATATTCTGACCATCAAATATCAATTTATCATTTATTATATCCAAATAATTTTTAGGTGTTAATTGTTTTTTTGTCGTAAACTAACACCTTTCATTTTTTGTGCAATCTTTTTTAAAATCACTTCCATCAATTGAACCATTGAATGATGTATAACACTTAGGACATAAAGCAACCATGTTATCACCTTGTTTCTCAATTGCTAAACCCAATAACTTCTTCTCATGTGCTTTTTCTTCAGCTTTATTCTTTAATTTAGGTTTAAATTTCTCATCAAAACAGAAGAAATCAAAAGGTGCGAATTTGAAAATGTTTTTATCATAAAATTGTTTATCGGTAACAATTGCTTGAAATGCTTGAGTGTTAGGAAGATTTGGGTCGCCAGCGATTGCCCAATAAGATGAATCAGTATCACCTTCAATGAAATGAAAACGATTAACATCCATGCATTTATACATAAAATCATAAATGAAAACCAAATACCAGTATTTAGCATTATCTAAAGTGAAGAATGCCTCTTGTAAACATGTATCACATCTATAAAATCTATCTTTAAGCATCACTTGATATGTATCCTCTCCTATTTCTCTTATGTTTTTAAACTTATTTGACATACATGCAACGCGTGCCTTCTGTGCATTCATTATTTTAGTCTTTGCGTAATTTTGTGTATTCATTGCATCGTAACCATATGATCCATTAAGTGAAATCTTGCAAAATAAACTTTTTCCTTTATTTCCTTCTAATTCAGCCTTTTGTCTTTCGTTCATAAATTTGTTCGCAAATTCATTAAAACAAGTGTTTTTCGTAAATGTTAAAATTGATTGAATATCATCGATGATAAAATGAAATCTGTCTATTAGATACCAAAGATAATAAGAAGAAAATGGTTGATATTGGTTGTGTGTTGATGCTAACTGAGTTAATTTCCTCTGTTTCTGGTCAACTGGTAGATTGTTTGATTTCATGTAATTATACATAAAACTGCCAATTGTTTTTTCATCTGTGATAATATCTAAGTTTCTTATTATCGGTAAAAAGTTTATGTAATCATTAATGTATTTTTCATCAATGTGACCCTTTACTTCAGCCACGAATAAAGTATTTTTCTTCTTAATTATTCCCAGTGCTTTTGCTTTCTTTGTTGCTGTATCACAAATGATAACACCATTCAATCTTCCCGGCATATACATTTTATGGTCAGTATATTGAATGAAATCATGAGGATTAGATGAAAATGATGAAGGATATAATGAATTAAAGTCAACTCCAACGAAATGAGTCATAATGTTGGTGGTGTCCTCATTTGATACAGTTTTAGTTTCTGGATTATATGAAAGTTTATTAATGTGCGTGATTCCTTTAAGATTAACACGATGTTGAACATTTGATAGACCACCAGTAATTCCATTACGGAGAATGTGATAAGCTTCAACTGAATCTAAAGTCATTGGTAAATTATTTTTTAATGCATAATTTCTTAAATTGATTCTTAAACGTTGAACATCTTCATCTTTATTTGATTTTACGACATTGCAATAACAACACATTAACTGACAATTTTCTTTGGTATGTGGTTTTTCATTATCGATTCTATCTAATGTTGGTTTATTTGCATATGTAAACGCTTTACCACACATTTTACATTTAGATGAAAGGATTAAATCGTGATAGTATTGATAGTCATCCATTGAAACATTGTTTTTAGTAACCCTTTCTGCTTTTTCATCTTGTTTCTTATATGATTCAATTTTATATTTCCAATACTTTTTTGTTAATTCAAAACTTGATTCCACATTTTCTTCTTCTGGATATGTTTCGTTAGGATTGAAGTTCTTATATGCTAACGCGTAACGAATCATTGAAGCATTCGATGATAAAGAAAGATTATGAAGCATATCAATTTTATAAACAAATGTTTCTTCAATAATTTTATCGATTGGGTCAATCATAATTTCAACATCTTTATTGCAATAATGAATAAAATATTCTAATCTATTCTTAAAATTTTTAGCATCATTGAGATATATTTGATAATCTGAATCGGATATTGTTTCTTGTGTTAATGCTGAATAAAATGAATCTTTCGTGAATGGTTCCTCTTTATATAATTCTTCTTCGTAATTTTCCCATGTGATGAATTGATAAGGGAAAAAGGATTTAACACGTGATTTATTGTTTCCGAAATCTTGAGTGAATTGGTCTAATGTCCCACCCGCTATATAATTTCTGATGTCAATAAATCTCAATTCATATGGAACGTTTGTTTTCTTTACAATGATTTGCTTAAATTGAGAAGAAGAACCCAGCATTGATTTTATTTTCCATTTTGCAGTATTTAAATCACGAAGAATTAAATTTAAATCAAACTTTCCCGAATTAAAACCTATGATATTCACTTTATTGAATTCCTCATCTAGAAGTTCTTTAAATGCTTCCTTCTGTTTTTCATTTAATGTATGAGACAAAGTCCCCACCGTTTGGTCTGTTTGCGACTTCATTAATTCTTCATATTGTTCAATATTTGATTTAGCAACTAATGAACAGGTTGAAAATAAAAACTCAATCCAATCAGAAATAAAAGAATCACTCGAAGTTAAGCAAAAATTCCTCGTATATGTTTTATCATTTAATTTAACCGTTGATGATACCATGAATGGTTTTAAGTAAGCGTTCAAAGTTGCACATTCAGAAAGTTGAATTCTTCTTTAGTCTCTAATGTTTCGAAGTCAAAAGTAATATAATATCTTGTTGGTTTATAATATTCCTGCAAATTATGTGCTAATAGCCATTGATATATCTTCTGTTTCGTAATATGTGGTGCATATGGTTGCTGGGTCTTTTGCAATTGAACGTCTTGAATTAATCTTCCATTATTTTCTTTACATTTCTCACAATGCTTTAAAAATCTTCTTTGGTTTTTCCTTTCTGGATCATCACGGATAGAATATACTTCTTCTTTGCAAAAGGGGCAAACTTTATATCCTGTGAGTGCTTCAACGTCTGTTATTCTGTCAGCGTGAAGTTTTCCACATGGACTCTGTGTTAATAAAATATTTACTGTTTCAAATTCTGGATCTATCATTATTGAATCCACTAATGGAAAGTCTACCTTGTTAATGTCTACGTCTTCTGGTTGAGGATCACAATAATAGAAATCAATATTAACATTTAACATTCTTGCTAACCTCTCACTTTCTGATGAAATGTCAAATCCTTCATATGCATCTATGGCTTCATTTAAATAACTTCTACGAGTTTTAGGATTAACACCATCAGGAATGTTATAGAAGCGTTTAAATAACCTTCTACCTTCGGCTCTTATTTGATTATCATTCATTTTAGCTGTTCCGTTTTTTGTTCATTTATGTAAGAATAAAAATTAAAAAATAAAAAAAATAAAGTTTATTTTTTTAAAGTCCGAGACTCAGAGAGTCCAGGGCTAAAGTCCATAAAATGAATTAAGAACACATAAATTTTTATCATCTGCGACGTGACGAATACATTTTAATTTACTCAAGAATGCGTACCCTGATACATTAAATCTAATTCCTGTCTTATTTAATTTCACAACTTTGAAAAGGAATGTATGAATAGCTATAAAATGATGAGATGATGTTTTATGGGTTGCTTCCATTTTTTCTGAAATAAATGAATAAATATAATGCTTATACGTTTTCATATCTTTTATATTCTTAATAACGAATGGTATAGACCTTTCAACTTCGTCTTCCTTCGGTGCTGTTCTTTCATATGAAACATTATTGGTATCTTCAATAATGAAACCACAATCACATAAAATTTTATAGGTTCCAATTGTTTCTTTTGATATTTTATCTAACAAATCAAAAACTTTATCAACACCTGTACATTTATTTAAATAATAATTTGTGTAAATATCATGGTCTTCTTTCTTAATCGTATTTGTTGCATATGTTACATTTTTCAGTGCTTTTTGAATTTTTCAGAATCAAGAGGAGGTGAAAGTAATATACATGGATAATCTCCATCGTCAATAAATTGTAACTTATGTTTATGAATAAATTTTGTGCCTTCTTCTGAAAGTGTTTCGTCAATATCACCATCTAATAAATTTTTAGTAGATTCCAAAAAGTAATTTTTATATCTTTCCTCATGTGATTTTTGAACTTCTGATTCTGAAGCTGGGATATTCATTAAACCCTCTACTTCATTCTCAGCATTTCTCAATTCACTAATTCTTTCATCTATTTCATTTCTTAATTGTTCCAATTTCTCAATCTCATCGTTATAATATTCATCTTGTTTAATTTTTTCTTCAAAATATTCAGGAGGTGTTTCAAGGCTCTCTGAGCCCAGGTCCTCTGGACCATAAAGAGGAATATTCTCCTGTTTTTCAACTTTTTTGGGATATAAATATCTCATTATAGCCTTTTTAGTAATTGGTCCGTTATATTTAAATTCATTCAACAATCTGGAAAACTCTTTCACATTCTGCATATATGTTGGATAAGAACCGTCTCCAAAATTTTCTAAAATATTTTCTAATTCTGAATTAGTGAACTTTAAAGATTTCAATGAATTAGTTGTTATACTCATTTATCATTAAATAAAAAATAAAAAAAATAAATTTAACTTAGTTTTAATTTTACGTAAGAAGTCAATTTTTTAAATCTTGATTTATTCAAAAACGTAAGAATAAAAACCGTAAGAATCATACATTTTTTACTTCATATGTTAAAAAAAATGATACAAAATCGTTCAATATCACCTCATTAATGAAAATTGATGATTTAACAAAAAGAATAGAAGAGATTGAAGAAAGAATGAATCAAATAATTGATTTCATAAATTCAAATAATCATTAGTTTCAATTTCTTTTTTTCTCGTTTATGAGGTCTTTGATTATGACTCCATTATATTTATACCTCCTTTCGTACCTGTTGTCTAAATGTCATGTTGTCTCATTTTTTAAAAGAAGTTAAATGACCTGGTAGCACATGGTAACATGGTAGCACCTTCAGTTATTCAAAAATAATTAATTATTGAATGCGTTTAGTATATAATATTTATTACTAATTTATTTAATAATGTCGCGCTTTCTTACGAATTCATGACTTGATTTATTCAAAAACGTAAGAATAAAAACCGTAAGAATCATACATTTTTTACTTCATATGTTAAAAAAAATGATACAAAATCGTTCAATATTGTATGAATTCTTACGTTTACAAAAAAAGTCACACAACCCGTCAACATATACTACTCTGAACGAAACATTTAGAAAATATCATACTTACATTGAAATAGCAAGTAGAGCATATTAATAGCAAGTTTCTTGGCTTTATATCTATCATCTATTGTTGTTTGATCAAACAAAATTCACTCTATTATATGGTGTCAATTAATTAAAACAATTTTTAATAGTTATTTATTTAGTGCGAATAAGTGCAAACTCATAAATGAATAACTTAATAGTAGAAATGAATTATCTGATATAAATCTCACATTTTGTCCATCAGAAATACTTTAATTGCATACGCATAACTATTAGTAATATGTCTGGAGTGTCAATTAATAACAATCCCACAACAAGTAAAATTCAGATTTTTATTAAACTTATTTTTTCCTAAAAGTTTTCTCAAATTACTATATATACATATGTGGATAAAATAATAGTAATATTGTAAAAAATTAGATAATTTTTTTTATTTGAGAACCTCTCAAAAGTTCATTCAATTTATCAACTGTTTCAGTTTGATGTATATTCATTTCTGGAGCCTAAAACTTTAGCAATCATGACAATATCATATTCTCTTTCTAACTACGCAATGTAAGGGTATCCTTAAGAATTAAAAAAGTGACAAGATGGATGAAGAAACAGAATATAAAGCCCTACCATTAAAAACAAGTCAAAATGAAATTATTGATCAAGGAAAGTCTTTGGAATCCGTAATAATGAATAAGGATGAAGTAGATCAATATGTTGCCACTCAAGAATTTTCTGGTGAAGCATATAAAAAATTTATGGAATTAGTTCCAACATATTTGATATCGCTAAGATCAAACAATCTCCTTGATATTAATAATGTCTTGAATGATCTATATCATTTTTTGATGTTTACAGATAATTCACCCGCAGCCGAATTAATGATGCAAACAGAAGTTTTTGAAGCTTTACTACTTTGTAATTTGATAGAAAACAAGAAAATGTATTATATGATTCTTCGAAGAGTTGTTTCTTGTTCAAAAGATGTTGTATTATATGCACTTCGATGTCATATCCTTCATAAAATACTAGAGTCGAACGATCTCTTTGATTCAGACTATTCAGCAAACGTTTGCTGCATTATTTATAGAATTATGGAAAGCTCGCAAATTGCAACAGCATTAGTATACTCAACAGGCTTATTTGATTCATTTAACGAAAATTTACCTACAGATCCAAACATAATTCGCAATATTTCTTTATTATTTGATCAACTCTTCAAAAATTCGCCAATCAAGCCTTACAAGATTAAAGCCAGGTCAAAGGCAGAAAATAGATACCTTAATGAAAGCGAACTTGATAGATTTTTCGATAATTTTGAAGATGATTTATTTAATAAAGAAAAAATCAAGGAATATCATACATACGGCATCAACGCTAATGACTATATTAATATTCTAATACAGATTTTTAATTTTGGACTTGGTAAATCGATAATAATCGAATATTCAATTTTATGTGCTCTAAATCGGATTTTGAGCGAAGGAGGCATCCGTCCTACAGCCATAGTTGACGATGTCATGATCGATAACCTCACATCTCTTTCCAATTCTTCAAATGACGAAAAAATAATTTCTTATATCGTAAATTTCTTCGGAAATTACTTTTATCAAGTAGCAGGAACCATTGACGACATCACAGCCGACACCATCCTAACATTTCTACTTAGTTTATTCAAAGAACCACCACCAGAATATTTATTTAACTTATGTTGTGCGATTTTCAACCTGATTCTATCAGTAAGAGATCCGAAATCCCTTAAAAAGAAGTTTGGTCCAGAAATCATCGCTTTCTTACATGAAATAATGAATGGATCAAATTATAACTTGAGAAAAGAGGTAACAAGACTATTTGTATTGATAGGAAGCAGGATCAACTACAAGATATTCGATGAAGAATCGATGGAAATCATTGTTTCCTTCATGGAACCAGAAAACAAAGAATTTGAATTTTCTTCATTCGTGATGAAGATGATTGGAGACGTAATAACTCACCAGGGGAAGGAGAGGTTCGATAGAGAAGGAAACAAATCAATAAGAGAGATGTTTGTGGAAGCAAATGGAGATGAAACAGTTCTTCAACTCTTGAATGAGCAAGAAATGTATAATTTGGCGAATTATTTTTACGACAACTTCATTGACAGGGAATTCGATTCTCCTGATATAGGAAATGATGTGGAAATATATGCAAATGTAGGAGGAGAAGAAGAACTATATGAAGAGGAAGATGATGAATATTATTGAATTTTTATTAATGTTTTTTTTATATAGAGATAAAGAATTTTTTTATAGAGTTTTAAGAGATCATCGCCTTAGTTTACAAAAAAATACGTTATTTACATCCGGGGTCTTCTTCTAGAGATCTTTTTCAGATTTTGAAACAATGAAAAGATAGAGCGTAATCAATGCATGCTATTTTTAAGTTTATTCATAAAAATATCGATTCTATCATCAATGAATAGTTGTAAACTAAGGCAGTGAGCCCTTAATATTTTATAAGCGTATTTATAAATGAAGTTAATTACCAGGTATTTGTGTTAAGTCAGATGAGCTTAATTTTACATTGAAGGATGTACTTTCCTCGACATTCAGGCAAAGCAGTTTTAAGGGATCACTTACCACTTTCTGACATTCTTCCAATCTTTTTTTATTTGCTAGTTTTTTATACAAATTTTCTAAGGAAAAGGATCATTAACTTTGTTCGGGAAGAAGTTATTTTAAATCACTACTTAGTACCTTATATTATTGTTATACTTTTTTGAAATCACAATAAAGATATATTGATACTATTCGAACATATCAGAAAGTGGTAAGTGCACTCTTAAGGATATGTCAACATTCTCACTTCGCTGTTAACAATATGGAATCTTGACATATATAAAATTGGTTTCAATGATGTTCAAGAGAATTATTACTCCTAATGTTTCACCGTATCTTATGAGTGTGAAGTGTTCTGTTCTATAATTTGGATCTAACAGAAATAAGAAAAATCAAATTAAAAAATTAAAATTTACAAACAAACAAAATCTAAAAAAAATTACATTAATTCATTACGAGATGTTAATGTAGTATCATAACAATCATGAAGGATAGAGAGAGCAGACGAAATTTTCATTCTAGCCTGTTTTAAAATTTCAATCTTTTTATTGTAAACAGATTTGAGTCTGTCTCTTTCGGATTTCAGTTCTTCTACCGAGATATCCTGACTTTCACTGATATTTGCTGGCGCCCATTGCTCCTGAGCGTTTGGAAGTGTATTATAATAATTTGAAGAGCTGGATTCGCGTTTTCTTATTTCCCTTGTGTTTTTCTGCTCTAGTTCAGTGACTTCCGCAAGTAATTTTTCGTTTTTCAGCTTGATTAAATCAATTTTATCCTTTTTTCGTAGTAATTCACTGTGTTTTCGCTGCATTTCGTTATATTTATTATGTTCTTCTGTGATTTGTTGTAGTTTTATGCGTAATTCCTGGTTATCTTTTGAAATTTTGTTTAATTTGAACCTTTTTTCTGATAATTGGGCAGCGATTTGCTCGTAATATCGTTGTCTATCAACAAAAGCTGCAAAATTAAATTTAGGATTCGATTCCAACGCTCTTATTGAATCTAAAACGTTTTGATTTTGAATTGCAATAGCCATTTTCATTTTTCTTACTTCTGCTATATCTTCTGTATTTAAAAGTCTCGAAATTTGTAAGGAATTGTTCAAAACTAAAATAGAATTTTGTGTTGAAATTTCTCTTTCTGATTGCAAGCGAGTGTTTTCGATTTCCAACCTCTTTTCATATGGATTTGCTGCTATTGCTTTAAAAGCAATTTCTTTTGCATTTTTGTCGCTAGTTAAAAATGACAAACATTTAGCTTGTCTACGCAGATTCTTAGAATATTCATCGTTTTGTATTTCAAGTTGGTCTCTGATGAATGATTTTTTTGAATTAATCTCTTTATATTTTTTTATTTCGGCTTCTAATTCTTCATTTGAATAGTTTTCATAAGTTCTCTGAAATTTCATCGGCACAGCATCGGAAATATTAGAAAGCATTAACTTTGGTTGAGCAGTTTTCGCCCGATTTTCTGAAAATTCAGTCATCAGTTTAAAAAAGTGACAAATTTTGATGTCATATTTGGATCAAACTCTTTAGGAATATTCTGACTATGCATGGTACGCTGGGCGCAATTAATTCAATCGTCGCCTCCTCCAGTGGAGCTCCATATTGGAGCTACAGACCCCCGGCGATTCCATATGAAGTCAATTTTTATTGACGCTTCACGCCAGTTGTCATAAATTTGAAATAATGTCAGATGGGCGTAAGTGCAGCCTTAAAGATGCACTTACCACTTTCTTTGATATCCAAGCTTTATATATCAATTGCGTCTTACTGATAGTAGCTCTGAATATCTTTATATGACCAATTTATGCAATATTTTATTGATAAACAAAAATAATCGAATTGAAATATAATTATTATTTATTGTTAATTTATGTCTAGTTTGCTATATTCTAGTTTTTAGTTTAGAAGTTGTTAGAAATCATTTGCGGGATTTTGCACCATGCTCATATAAGTATTAAACAATTTCGATTAAATCAAGATTCTCTGCAATAAAAAGATAACTGTTATTAAAATTAATAAAACGCCATAAAGTAATGATAAATATGAAAAGGAAGAGGATATCATAAAACAATGATAGAAATATAAAGAAAGAAAACAGGAGCAGCATTGACATCTGCTCCATGTTCAACTAAGTATTGAACAATTTCGATTGATTTGGCGTGAATTGCAGCGCTAAGAGGAGTTATTTTAACATTAAAAAAATATCAATAAATAATGATTGATATATAAGTTAAGAAAATGTAATAAAACAATGATAGATTTGAAAAGAAAGAAAATGTAATAACACAATGATAAATATGAAAAGAAAGAGAGTGTCATAAAGCAACGATAAATATGAAAAGAAAGAAAATATAATGATACAAGGATAAATATGAAAAGAAAGAGAGCATCATAAAACAATGATAGATTTGAAAAGAAAGAAAATGTAATAACAAAATGCATGATATGATAAACAAGAAAATGTAATAAAGCAATGATAAGCATGAAAAGAAAGAAAATGTAATAAAGCAAAGATAAATATTAAAAGAAATATAATCCAATAAATCACTGATGGATATGAAAAGAGAGAGAAGAAGTTCAGCGTTAACATCTGCACCATTATCAACTAAATATCGAACGATTTCGATTGAATTTTGTTTGATTGCCATAGTGAGAGGGCTTTTATTAAAATCTAAAAAACTTCATAAATCAATGATAGATAAATAGATAAAGAATATGTGATAAAACAAAGATAGATATGAAAAGAAAGAGAATTGAATAAAGCAATGATAGATATGAAAAGATATATAAAAAAATGCAAGTTGACATCAGCTCCATGTTCAACTAAGAATCGAACAATTTCTATTGATTTCGCTTTGATTGCAAAACCAAGAGGGCATTTATTATTATCTAAATAATTTCATCAAGACATGATAAATATGAAAAGAAATAGAATGTGATAAAACAATGATAAACATGAAAGGAAATAGAATATCATAAAACAATGATAAATACGAAAAAAGGGATAATATTATAATACAACAAAGAATTCCATCAAAAAATGATAGATATGAAATGAAATATAATTCCATCAAACAATGATAGAAATAAAAAGAAATTGAATAACAACAACGTTGATATCAGCTCCATTTTCAATTAAATATCGAACAATTTCCATTGATTTTGCTTCGATTGCATTAGTGAGAGGTGTTCGATTATTATCAAAATAATATCATATAGCAATGATAAATATTAAAAGAAAGAAGACGCGATAAAGCAGTGATAGATATGAAAAGAAATAGAATACTATAAAACAATAGTAGGCGTGAAAAGAAAAAAAATTAAATAAAACAATAATAATCATGAAAAGAGAGAAAATATAATTAAACAATAATAAATACGAAAAGAAAGGGAATTACATAGAACAATGATAAATATGAAAAGAAAGAGAAACCTATAAAACAATCATAAAAATGAAAAGAAAGATAAATCTATAAAACAATGATAAACATGAAAAGAAAGAGAATTGAATAAAGTAAAAATAGATATAAAAAGAAAGATAAAAAATTTCATGTTGACATCAGCTCCATGTTCAACTAAGTATCGAACCATTTCCATTGATTTAACTTTGACTGCATAACCAAGAGGGGTTTCATTAGCCTCACAAAGCAATGATGGATATGAAAAGAAAGAGAAGAAGCTCAACATTGACATCAGCTCCATGTTCAACTAAATATCGAACAATTTCAATTGAATTTTGTTTGGCTGCCGTGGCTAGTGGAGCTTCACCATTATTTGCATAATACGAAAATGAATGTCATAAATATTGTTAGCATCTGCTCCATGAGAGAGTAAATATGATACTACATCAAAATTTCCATAATACATTAATTTTGCTAGCATTTTAGGAACTTAGTTATAATTTGTGTGAAGATAATTTGCAATTTCATAATTACGATATATCAATGCAGTGTCGATTGTGTCATCAAATGATTGACCATCTTCTATCATTTGTTCGAAAATTGCTATATTTCCACCTTCAGCAGCATATTTTGCAGAATTTTCAGTATATCTACCTCCCTTATTCTTCATGTAATTGTAACATAACTCTGATCCAAATTTAATTGCGCAATCAAATGAAGTTATTAAATCTGTTTTGTCATTGACGTCAAGGTTTGGGAATTTACGTTTAAGTTCATCAATTTTGTCCCATGCCATGTAATACAAAGGAGAATCTGTTTCATAAAAATTGAGAATTTTATCTTCTTCTTCAAGATATGGTTCGTATTTTTCAAATTTGATACCTTTATAGCAAAGCAAATCAGTAAATTTGTTATTTTCTGGTTTAATGATACGTGAAAATGCGTTTGATATCGTTTGGTAAAGTTCTGCAAATAATTTAATATCTTTTTCACGAATTTCTGAAAAAACATCAATCAAATAAAACGCCATTTCGATATTAATTTTGTTTGCTTTAATTAGTTCGATGATTTGTGATGATATTTGTAAGATATTATTTGAATTGACTTGCCAGATCATTTTTGAAGCTTGGTTTGGATATTTAAATTCTTCAACAGGAGTGATGTTACTGAAATCTTGATTTATTTCGGACTTTGATGCACCCGAACTCGACATTAAGAAATTGTAAAAAAAAAACTAACGATTCTTATTTCAGAACAATAAATGTTAGGCGAAACAGTTTTGATCATAATATTAAAATCCATAGCTTCTGCAATAAAATTTTAGTCACATTTTACAGCGTCACTTTTGATGCTGAAACCTTCTGAAGAAGTTTTAACAGATTTCAAATCAAAAGTATTAGGAGGAGAAGGCATGTTCGATGTAGTTGTTAGTCATCCGTATTTTGTTGACTTTTGGAATGACGGAGATACTGATACAGTTGAATTAATCTTAAATAATTTCGATAGAGTTATAGAAACATCACTATTTCTTTTAACACAGAAAACAGATGTTATTAATGCATGTCTTTCTATTATTTACTCAATAAGAACAAAATCATCAATTCCTCGTCTTCTTGAAACGAATATGTTTGATATCTTAGTCAAAACCGCTGAGAACCTCATAAATTCTACCGGAGCAACTCAACATATGTACTTTGTTATCATGGAATGTTTTTCAAATTGTTCAACAAAGTTATTACCATGTTTTTCAACAGAAAATTATATTAGGTCTCTTCTGAAAGCCATATCGATTACTGAATGCTACGATTTTGTTCTAAATTTACTCAAAAATGGTAACGTCAATCATATTCTTTCAGATATACACTTTATGAAGCTACTTGTAGAAGAAATTACATTATCAGGCAATAACATGAAGAATGCACAATCTATCTTTATTATAGGAATGACTACTCCTCTTGTTTCAGAAATGAATTCTGCATTGTTATCAAACAAGAACATTTCCATAATCATTAAGAACTGTATAGCATATAAAACCAATGATTCACTAATATTTTTACGAAAAATCTACCAATTATCGATAAAATCAAAAGGATGGGAAGAAATATCGACAATTATTGAAAATTCCATCGAGACAATTACAAAATTAGCATTAGAAGAACCAGTATTCAACAGTTTCCTTGAAAATACAACGAAACTCGCTTGTATTATTTTCAGAAAAACTGAAGATGACTCAATCATCATAGATAAGCTCTTTAAGAGGCTTGCGAATGATTTCTTTACACTTAAAACCAATACTTTCCTCCATAATTCCTTTGTAGACTTGATCCAAGCGTATAATGATACAAAAACTCTTTCCAGGTCACTGATAAAGGAAACTAAGTTGTTCGAACGAATTATGGCTATCGTAAACGTTGACGATAACTCGAATACGATTGTCCTTGGCCAAGCAATGAACATTGCCAAAATTATTGATCCATTTATCAAGACAAAGGATGCGGATATCAATAATTGGAAGGCGTGCATGAAGAAGATTAATGAAAGGCAGAAGATTATCAAGTCTAACTACGGAGGAAAGCGACAAAAGAAGAAAATTGAAAATATTATAAGTGGCAACGTGGTACTTGCCATAACTACATCTGTTATTGTTACTATTATATACATTGTATTAATTTTAATTGTCTTGAAAATATTCAAGGCGTGGAAAAAGAAAAAATAACCATGATTTCTTGTATTTTGTTTTGTGTTTAGTATAAAATATATAGATCTATGTTAGTTAATTATTTACAGTTATTGGATTTACTTAAATCAACACAAATTGGAAAAATTTGAAATATTTCTTTAAAATTATCAAAAATAGATTAATATTTGCTTCGTACTCAAATATATAAAACGTATTTAAGGTTTTATATCCATTTTTTAAAAAAAGACTAATTATAATTTTAATTTTTATTCATTAGCAAGTCTAACACCCATCTCATAAGCTTTTTGCTTTAATTCTTCAAGATGTTCATCTCTAAACTTCTCTTTCAAAGCAATTCTTTCAGATGGGATATGTAACATTGACATATCCTTAGCAAGAAGCTGAGCTGGCTTGTAAAGGTATTCACACTTACCTTGGAAGACAAATTCAAGCATACTTGCCTGTTATTTGATCATCTTAATGTATTCAGTATCAAAGTATTCTTTTTGTGCGCCACCAGAGAAGACAAGGCCAGTCTTAATAGTTTTGTTCCATTTGCGTGGCTTGGCATTATCATAGTTAGAATATGAAAACAAAATCTTCTCAAAAGCCTTGTAGAAGTTGGATGAGAAGTTGCTCCAGTAAACAGGAGAACCGATAACAAATGCGTCAACATCTTTGATTTTATCAATATACTTGGCTAAATCATCTTTAACAACGCAACCTGGAGTTGATTCTGTTCCCTTATACTTACATTCTAAGCATCCGTTGCAACCATCGAATTTAAGCTGTGCAAGATGAACTAATTCAGCTGTTTTTCCTGTTGATTCAACACCTTTCTTGAGTTGTTCTAAGAGCTCCATTGTGTTTCCGTGTGGCCTTGGACTGGCATTGAAAATAAGTACATTAGTTGCGAATCTGCTTGTGGAGGAAAGCATGAAAATGAAATGAATTGAAAGGGTTCAAATTTTCAATTCACATCTCGCTTAAACATTATTAAAAACAACTGCTGTAATGTCTTTTATTCCACGATAACGATTTATCGTTTAAATTCATTCAAAATATACGAAAATTGAGAGAAGTTCAATTTTTGAGAATATATTTTCAATTCGACCACGCACATAATAACTTGTAATAGACATGATAATAAGAATCCGGAAACCAATTCATCTGACGGTTATTTCATAACCCATTCAAACCAGTCCAGTTTTCTTCACAAAAAAATTCAACAAATTGAATCTTCAAAAATTACATTGATTTAATATCCAGTTTTATTGTTAATTCTTTTTATAATATTAAATACTTAAAAATACTTTTTATTACAATTATTCATAAGATGAAAACTCAGAATCAAGACTTGACAATAGTTTAAACATATGTGTTATAGGATGGTATATCGATATCCAAACACGATCATTAATGAAAAAACGTTTTTTTGAATTATTTATGATAATTAACAAAAAAAAAATAAACAAAAAAGATAAATTAAACCTTGATAGGTAAATCATACTTAAGCATATCAGTATAATGATGCCCCTTGAAACCTTTCTTGCAGTATTCTCTGTGTTCAGCTTCCTGACCACAAATAATAGCTGTCTGGCACAAAGTTCTTGCGATTGCGTGGCATTTCATCATTCCTACTCTGCAAGGAACTTTGTAGTTACTTGTCAACTCGTTTGCCTCGACCATTGCGACGATATCCTGGTTTGGAACGACGTTTATCCATGTGTACTGTATGTTCTTGAACTTCTTCAGTTCGTAGAAAGACTGCATACTTCTAACATTTGGTCCTGACACAGAGACAGCCTGATAACCTGTTTTCATTGACAAAATCTTTGCGATGCCTCCTCCGAGTGAATGTCCAATGATAAGAACATCCTCGTCATCAGCGATTGTCTGGTTGTTTATGTAGTCCAACATTGTCGTCATGTAATTGTCGGTCAATGAAAACTGTCTGAAAATTTGTCTCGGCATTGTCATCATCCATTGCAAGATTACACGTCCTGTATCTCCGAATGTCTTCATGAGAGGAATGACTGGCATGATGAAGTCGTTGATGACGGAGGCGCACCATTGTTCTACATCAACTAAAACGTCATTTAATGTAAATGTGCCTCTGACAGAGAAAACAACAAGTTTTCCTTGCTGTGTGTAGATCCTGAAGTGATTCATTGAGCAGTTGTAGGTCTCATTGACAAAGGTGCCAATGAATTCAACACTGTTGGTCCAGTTCTGGCCGAAAAACTCTTGCATAAGATAATCCAACTTATTATAAGTGTTGTTTGTGAAATAGTAAGCGGAATTGGCAAGAGCAATGGCCTGTAGACCGGATAAACCTTTGGCATTGGCATAACAAATTGGACTCCGAGTCACTCTGAATCCTTCATTTGGAACTGTGCTGTTGAGAGCAACCAACTCTGTCTCGTTAAGAGTCTCGTTGGTTGCATCTGTAGTATTGGCGATGGTAGCATTTGGTATGTCGTCGTTTGAAATTGAGCCATCTTGTGCGTATTCGTTGTTGAATGAGAAAACAATAGCGACAATGATGAACAATACAAGGAGAACAATGAGAATAACAGCAATAAAGATGGAAACCCAGCGGAGAAGCATGTGTTTGTTCGACCATATGACCATATCTCTCGAATACTTGTTGTAATCGCCAGTAGACTTGAGGTTTTCATACTCGAGCTGCAACATGCGCTTGGTCATGGCCGGATCTCGTTGACGATGGAGCCAGAAAAATGGCATCGGCATCCATGTGCAAATTGGAATTGTAATGAGCTCATAGATGAAGATAATGCACAAAGCTTGCTTCCAACTGAAGGTAGAACGAACAAAAGTAACAATAAGATAAATAAGTAAAGCAAAGAATGCGTAAACAGAGAAAGTGTTTCTACTGAATATGGCCTTTGTTATTACTGAGCATGCAAGGTTCTGTTGGTTCATTCTATCGTCGTTTCCTTCGAAATCAGTCAAATCTTCGATATCTTTCTGAGATTCGGACAAATCATCGATATTGTCTTCAGTGTTGGCTTCTCCATTTTCATTTGCATTAGAATTCTTTGGTTGAGCAGGCTTATTTGCGTTTCTTGGCTTATTTTCTTCAGAATTCTGTCTTCTGTTGAAGAGAACAGGGAGAAGGTTCTGGTATGGATGGTCTCTGAAGTAGATTGCGTTCAAAAATGGATCAGAAAAGTCTCCAATTTCACGATATCTGATTCTGCAGTAAGAGAAGCAGCTGCAGATGGAATGGATCGTGTATTCCATTATAATGAGGAAATACTTGATTGGAGGAATAATAACAACGAAAATTAAGATATAAATTTCTACAACCATCGAAACTCTGGTACTGAAGGCTTGTGCAGCGAAGGAAATCGCAAATATCAAGAATAGAATACCAAGGCAGATGTCGTAGAAGTATGGCATGCAAATAAACTCAGATTTGATATGGGAATTCAATTTCGTATTCTTTAAGAACTTTGCGAACAATATTTGGACTGAAATTGCAGGTGTTCGCTTGAATATCGTGAATTTGAAGAATTCCACAACACAAATCGTAATAATATTCACGAAGAAGAAGCTGTAAAGCGCTAATGGCAAAAGAACGAAGATAAAAAGGACTGCACTATGCTGAAGAACATGAAGACACATTGTTGCAAAGAGAATAATCGAGTGCAGATAAAATCCGACAATAACAACGGGGCCCATGAGATCCCAGAGGGTAAGAAGTACCTTAAGAATGTAAGAAATGTGGCGCAAGAAGGATGACAGCCATTTGAACACGTTACGGCATGAACTTTTGACAGATGGTTCATAATAACCACGAGTTATGTAGCGATCAGCCAATTCCTTGAGATCTTCGATGTTCAGAGTGTCTGCTGCTTCCTTTAGGAAAGTTGCATTTTGGGCTTTGACTGTAATTGGGTCACCTTGGAAAAGTGATTTTAATAAGAAGCCTTGTTCTTGTTTTTCTGGATTGCAGGTGAAGGCATATTGTATTCCTTGATCGGCAGTTGCCATTTTAACAAAGGAATACTCTTCACCCGAGACATTAATTGTAAATTGATCGACATTTCGATTGTAAAAGATTTGGTTCAGATCAGATTTCGATATTTGATAGTCGTGTGGATCTTTTTCATAGTGTACATCGATACAAGTAGCTTCTGCGTCAGCTGACCGACGCATTCTGAAATTTCTAAACTGTTTTTGTTAGTGACTTTTTGATGAAGTATTGGCTGTTGGCCAAATGCTTATTGAGGACCATTATTCAATATTTCATGATTTTCGCATTTTTCTTTACAATCTAATTTTTCAATGCAAAAAAACGAGTGATAAGATTTCATATCAGATTTGTTATGCAGTCGATTTTGAACTATTATTTGACAACGTCTCAAAAAAAAATATTCCTCAATTTACAAAATGGAAATGTAAATGCAGAAACAAGCAGTTCATGCATTATAGATTCCGAATATATTAATGTTACTTCTTAAACTTGATTTTTTGAGGATATTTTTATGAAAAAATATTTAATTATTGTCACTTTTCTTAAAAATAAACGTGACAACTCTAAAAAAATATGTGTGAAGAAACATCAGTATTTTTGGAGCCTCCGTTTTCAATAGATGCATCAGAGATTCGTAATAACTTCGAAATGAATGGATTTTCAGATCTTACACGTCTAGTTCTTTACGATGATTGTTTAATTATTTCTTTTCCTACACCAGATCGTGCAAGCCAATTCATACAGTTTTACAACGGCAAAGAAATTAAAGGACGCAAATTAGCAGCAGGATATAGCAAATCTAATACTTCTTCTTTATCTCGAGGTCCAGATCCAAAAGACAAGTTATACAGACCATCGCGTGGCGACTCTTTAGGTCCATCACGTGACTATCGCGATTCAAGGTCAGATTATAGAGACGGACCAGACAGAAGAGATTATAGAGATATAGATGATAGAAGTTATAGAGAATCACGAGGAATGCGCGATAGTTATCGCGAATCTCACAGTCCTCGTTACATGCGCGACCAAGACTACTCAAGAGATTCGATGTACGACCGTAGACCAATGGATAGCTATAGATCAGAGAGATTACGGAACTCGAAGACAGTTGTTGTTACAGGAAATCCACTTACATTAACAGAACGCGACGTTTTCGACGAGTTTGCTCGCATTCAATGTTTTGTCAGACAAGTTGAGAAACGTGGCTCAGTAATTTTCGTTCAATTCGATCTACCAGACGATGCTGATAAAGGTATTTGCAAGCTGAATGGAGAAGTAATCAATGGCTGCAGAATTCACGTGGAACTCGTCGAGGATAAGCCACTGAACCTTCCTGTTCTAAAAATACCTCTTGTTATCATGGAAGATAAGGCTGATAAAAAGTTATAAAATGTAAAGTTGTTTTTCAAAATTTTAATTTTTTAATTTTTATTTATCTCTCGAAACAAAATAAAATCTTGTATAAGACATGTATAGGCATGATATTTCCCTTGCACTCATCTGGAAATGAATAATGATTTGAATGAGAATGATTGATCGAATTAAATATATTTCACCCCAATTCCATGCAAAAATGTCACTATGTCATATGTTGCCATGAATAGTGCATTATTTCCATCATTATCCTTTTGTGTTTTTATTAACGCCAACAGAAATAAGATATCTTAATGCAAAAATGAGTGAAGTTTCTCCTCTTTTATTCTTTGCTTCCTTATTAGCTCCAAAAGAGATAAGATATTTAACAACTTCAAGTTTATTATATAGTGATGCTGTAAAAAGTGGAAGATCTCCATCATGAGTCTTTGCTTCTTTATTAGCTCCATCTGAGATAAGATATTTAACAACTTCAAGACGACCTCTTACTGATGTCCAATTGAATGGAGTAGATCCAAAGCTATCCTCTATTTCTTTATTAGCTTCAACATAAATAAGATATTGAACAAATTCAAGATTACCTTTAAATATTGCAGAAATGAGAGGGGTTTTTCCATCTTTATCCTTTGCTTCTTTATCGTCGCAAACAGAGATAAGATATTTAACAACTTCAAGTTTGCCATATCTTGATGCCCATTTGAGTGGAGTCCTTCCGCTAAATGGACATCGCAGCCACATTCAACAAGTGATTTAACAAGTTTTGAATGCATTTTTAGGGTTCAGTATGGAAAAAAAATAGTTCATCTATCAAATAAATTACAACATCTTTCGCAATCGATTATGCTTTAACTTGAATTAGTTCTTTGATATTAAATTGAAATGCTTCCCATAGGCCAGAAATTCCATATTGAAACCGAATTCAACTCATTTGTTGCAGTTTATTGCAAACATCAAGGACCTACCAGCGTTTATTAAACCAGAATTGAAGATATCAAATCTAAATTGCATTTATTAATAAATTTACACTACTTTTCAATGTTAACACAATAAATTAAAAAAATGTTCGCAATTTGGACATAGATTGTCTACGGCCAAATTGCAAACAATTTCTTTAATCGTTTGCAAATTCTAATTTTCATGAACGTTAAAAGTTCTGAAAATTTGAATGCTTGCAAGCGATTTTAAAATTTTTGTCACTTTTTAAAATTTTTCATGGAATATAATCTTCAATTAGCAACAAAATATTCGGATTTTTTTCTCGAGGTTACCAATTTTGTAGATGCACATGCTCCAGAAATCAAAGAATATTTACGGATTATAACAACTTATACTAACTCCCGATTTAAAAAATATTTTAATATTGCAAGATTTACTTATAATATGTTTACAGTATGGAAACCTCTTAACAATACTTACTTACGATACATAAACATATTTGTACCAACAAAAGAAATTGCCGATAAATTTTACGAGTTAGGTGAATTATTTGGAAAAGAAATACTTAATTATTATCCAGTCTACATGAAAGATATGCAACGATTGTCAGACTTAAAAAAGCTCGTTTTGGAATTCGAGAGAACACCAGAGAAAGATAGATCTTTATATTCGAAAATATTTGGATGTCACATCCCAAAAAAAGATATACGCCGATAAAAAATTAGACGAAGAATGTTCTCCTTTACCAGAAGATATATATAAAAAGGCTTTGCGTTTTCTCGCAGAGCTTCACAAACCAATCTATAAATTTAAACAAGAACAAGAAGCAAAAGAAATGAGAGAAAGAAGGAAACGTGAAAGAGAACAGATGGCAATGTATGAGAGGAAATGGAAAGAGAGGCAATTGAAAGAGAGGGAATTGGAAGAAAGAAGATCTTTGCAAAACGTTGAAATAGAACCTTATAGAACGTATTATGTTGATGAATCAATACGAAGGTTATACCAACCACTTGCTTAAGATTTTTTTTCTTTCAAATTCATGTTAATGATTCAAACCAAAAACCGTGCTACTATCATACTATATGCAGCTTAAATGAATAGCAGAATGTATCAGCTGAAATTAAAAATTTAATCGTTTAACAATTTATGTATTGATATTTATGTCGAAGTTAAAAACATAGTTAATTTATAATAAAAAGAAAATAAAAGCAACTTTATTTTGTCAAAATAATATTAAAATCATGGGAAATTTTTCAAAACTTCTTATCAATTGCTATATGATTATTCATAAATCTCTTGAAAGTATTTTTGATATTCCCGTTCTGATGCCCAAATGAGTGGAGCGTCTCCCCATTTACTCTTTGTAATTTTATCAGCTCCAACAGAGATAGGATATGTAACAACTTCAGGCAAGCCAAATCTTGGTGCCAACATGAGCGGAGTTTATCCACCAAACGGATGTGATTCCTTATGGCAGCTACATTCATTAAGTTATTTAACAATTCTTTTAATTTCCTTTTCCCCATGCAACATGTAGAACATTTCTCACATGCTTTTGACAACGTATTTAGATCCTTTTGAGATGAAAGAAAATCAAGCAAATTGTAAACGTTTCTAAAATCATTTGAACTCTGATGTTCTCTAATTTTTGATTAATTTCTATTTCTTTTTCTTTGTTATCACAATTCAAGCCCGTAACTACTTTTTTAAAGATACTCCACGCTTTGGAAACAGATTTTAATTTAGTTTCCATTGAAACTTTTAATGGAAAATATTATTTGTATGCCATAACCATAAGATCCTAGGTGAAAGATCCAAGATTAATCGATTTTATTTTTCTAATTTTTTAAATTTTAACAAAAATCTTATTAATTATGGATCTAAGCTGATACTTACAATTGCCCTCATTGAAGCTTATATTTTCTATAATCATTTATCTCCAACTACATTTTTTATTGACGTAATTTCCAAATCTTAATTTTTCATACATGAATATTAATTTACACAAGTATCAATTATATAAAAAATCGAAGATAATTTATTATAAAATTTTAACGGTGTAATCAATACATCAGGCAAACAAAATGTTTGAAAATCGGTTTTTTATAATTTGAAGATTTAAATGATGCAAAAGATTTTATTAATGGAATGTTTTTCTATTGTTTTTATTGCTTAAGTTTAAGTTTTCTCGAATATAGAGATAGTAGTAACGAAGTTATTGTCGGTTGTTTATCAGATATTAGCGGTGAAGTTGTTATTCCTCAGTTTGCCACAGAGATATATAGCGAAAGTTCATCGAATTATGCATTTAAGAATTGCAAAGATAATATTACATCAATTCTATTTGAAGAAAATAGTCGAATTGAACGTATTGGTCCATATAGTTTTTTTGAAACAAATCTACGACAAGTCAATTTTCGTAACTGTCAAAATCTTCTATTGCTTAATCAATCGATCTTCCAAAACTGTAAATCCCTATATTGGATAATTTTGCCTCCAAAACTTTCAATAATTGGAAGTTTTTGTTTTTCAGGTACTCCATTTATGGATATAGAATTACCAGACTCTGTGGAAATTATTGAATCATATGCATTTTATAAGACTAATTTATTCTTCTTTCGGATTTCAGATAGATCTAAACTATCATTTTTAGGAGAAAAATGTTTTGCTGATTTACAAATTCATGTAATTCACATTCCTAGATATCTAAATTCAATTGCTCCATCTGCATTTAACAATTGTCTAATAGATGATGCATTAATTGATCCAGAAAATCAAAATTATAAAACTGATCGTAAATCTCTTTTTACTGGAACTGATAATTCGACATTAATGAAAGTCTTCGGCGGATTTTCAGATGAATATATTGTTCCTGATTATGTTACATCTATTTCTGATGGTTGTTTTTCTTATTGTAATCGAATTACATCAATTCGAATTCATAATAATGTTAGTTATATTGGAGAAAATGCATTTGGACATTGTTATTCTTTAGAAAGTATTATATTCCAGAGTAATAATAATTTAACATTCGGCTGCAATTTGTTTTTAGACAAGCGCTATCCTTTTAAACTATATATCCTTGGAATGTTTAATATTTCAATAGATTGCTCAATTTCACTCCCAAAGGTAAGTACAATTGTAATCACAAATGAAACAAAATTCCAAGGATCAGTTTCAAGATTTTTTGGAGGCAACAAATTCAAATGGGAATTAGAAGGAGATTTCACCCCTGATCAATTAATTCAATCATTTATTGATGACTTTTCAGTCAATTATGATGATCCAGATTCTATTAATTCAGGTTCATTCATATATAAAGATGATTCAAACACAACACTTATTGGTTGTTCAGACGATGTTTATGGCGAAGTTCTTATTCCTAAAAATGTCACCAAAATTGATGCTTTATTAATTAAATCAAAATTTGAAAATTGTAAACGGCAAATTACATCACTTCAATTTCAATATAATAGTCAAATTGTAAGTATTAGCTCTTTAGGATTCTATCAATCAAATATACAAACAGTTAATTTTAGCAATTGTCTAAAACTTACATCACTTAAATATTCTTCTTTTGGATCATGTGATAATTTAAAAACTATTATTCTTCCACCAAATATTATTAATATAGATAATAGTTGCTTTGATTATACTTCATTATCAACAATAGTTTTACCTGATTCATTAGTTAATCTTGGTGATGGTGTATTTTGGAAGAGTAAATTAGAAACTATTCATATTTCAAGTAATTCTAAGTTAGCTACAATTGGGAGTGATTGTGTTGTAAACAGAAATTCATCAAAAGTGACACCTCAGAAAAGCTAAAATATTGAATTTTTGGAACTTTTGATAGAGAACGTTTTTAAATATTAATTAAAGTAAATGTATATTTTGTAAAGATTCTTTTTAATAAAAAAGTAAAATTTTGAAGAAGAACACAAAATCTTCTGAAAAATAATATCACATAAACTCATATTATTTTCTAATATATAACTATTTTATATAAAATCAAATTCAATGATCTTAAAGCGAAGGATAAACCTCAAAATTTACGAATATAATGAGTGGGAATATAATGCTTATCTATCATAAAACCATATGAAATATCAATTTTTGCTTTACGCCTAATTTTTGACGACAATTAGCAAAAAATGTTAAATGTTAACACTCAGTCCATTTGAATATGAAAAATAAATTGACTTTGATTAAATGTTTTTATTTATCATGCAATTCTTCTTGCGACCAAAGATTTGAAATAAAAGTTCAAAAATAAGATAGCTTAAAAAATAATATACGGTAGTGTTTACTAATAGATGAATAGTATATAAATTCTATTAAAATGGATTTGATCCAAAAAAATATAAAACCAAAAATAATTGTTATAACTTAAATGAAGAAGTAATTTAAAACGATTTTATTTATGATCAAATTTTATATATTTTTTTGGATCAAATCCATTTTAATAGAATTTATATACTATTCATCTATTAGTAAACACTACCGTATATTATTTTTTAAGCTATCTTATTTTTTGAACTTTTATTCAAATCTTTGGTCGCAAGAAGAATTGCATGATAAATAAAAACATTTAATCAAAGTCAATTTTATTTTTCATATTCAAATGGACTGAGTGTTAACATTTAACATTTTTTGCTAATTGTCGTCAAAAATTAGGCGTAAAGCAAAAATTGATATTTCATATGGTTTTATGATAGATAAGCATTATATTCCCACTCATTATATTCGTAAATTTTGAGGTTTATCCTTCGCTTTTAAGATCATTGAATTTGATTTTTATATAAAATAGTTATATATTAGAAAATAATATGAGTTTATGTGATATTATTTTTCAGAAGATTTCATTCTATATGCCTATGAAAAGTACTCTCAAAACTAACTTTTTCCTAATTATAATTAAATCTAGAATATTGTATTATGCTTAGTATTATTTCATTTTTCTCATTCAATTTAGAATTTACAAATGTCAAAAAATTGAGAGCTGTCACTTTTGATGAATTTCTGTTTATTACAATTGTTTTAGCGAATTGCTTACTTCATTTTATATTCCAAAATCCATTAAATCAATTGATCCATCTGCATTTTATTATATACATAATGTGACAGTTGATCCTGACAATCCAATATATAAGATTGAAAATCAATCGTTGTTTTTAAAAACAAATAGATCTATATTAATTAAAGTTTTTAGGTCATTCATCGGAAATTATATAGTTCCAGAATATATTACAAACATTAATAATTATTGCTTTTATAATTGTACTGAAATTACATCAATCCAACTTCATGACAACATAAACATTGGAAATTATGCATTTTCATATTGTACATCATTAATAAACATTACAATTCCAAGAAATTTACAAAAGGTTGAAATATATACATTTTATGATTGTGCATCCTTAATAAACATTACAATTCCTGAAAGTGTTACAGAGATTGGAAGATATGCATTTAATAGTTGCAAATCATTAATGAGTATTACAATTCTAGGAAATTTACAATATATTGCAACTGAAACATTTAGGGATTGCAAATCATTAATAGACATTACAATTCCTGAAAGTGCCACATTCATTGGAAGCTGGGCATTTTATAATTGTGCATCATTAATGAGTATTACAATTCCAGGAAATGTACAAGAGATTGGAAGTTACGCATTCAAGTATTGCAGAAATCTCAGAAATGTTACATTCCTAAGCAATAATAATATCATTAAATTTGACGAAGAAATATTTTATAGAATGGATAATCCTGTTAATATTTTTACTCCTGGAATATTTAAAATTGATTTAGTTTATTCTGGAGTTCGTAAAGCTGAATTTTCGGAGAGAAATCATTTATTTATTACAAAAGATACTGTTTTCTCATCAGATTGTAAAGATATGTTAGGATGTGGTAGAATATATGTTCATTATGATGGATCATTTAATATCACAGATCCTATTCTTAAAGATTTTGTTGATAACTGTGCTATCCGATTAATAGAAGATAAAAATTCAACAACAACAGCATCAAAAACAACAAAAACAACAATTATTCCAATAAGACATGAATTCCAATTTCGAAGGCGATAAATGAAAATAATTTTCTTCTTCAACCAAAAATGCATAATCTAATTTAGATTTTATTCTATCAGTATCAACAACTTAAAGAGCACCATGTGCGTTGTAAGTTAAGGATAAATTCAGATTATCCAGTTTTTAAACATCTGCATTTGATATTATCTACCAATAAAACATCTTTTTTTTCGCTCGAACGCTTTGTTAATTCGATCTGGAAAGTGTGAACTGTCTATGAAGGAATTTAGATTGTTAACTACATCTCTTCATACGTCAAAAAGAGATATTTCGAGATATTGAGCACCAAAAATGATTTAGTTGTTAACAAAAATATTTTTTTGACATAGTATAATTTATAATGTAAACTATTAATTAATGAAAGCTCAAGAAGTTTTTCTTATTTATTGATCTTAAATGATCATGTATTTTGTAATATATAATTTAGAAATGTTTAATCTATGAGATATCGAATAAATTTGCAATTTTTATTAATCGAAGTTAAAAACAAAGTTAATTTATAATAAAAAGAAAACATAAGCAACTTTATTTTGTCAAAATAATATTAAAATCATGGGAAATTCTTCAAAACTTCTGCAAACTTCTTATCAATTGCTGTATGATTATTCATAAAGCTCTTGATAGTATTTTTGATCATTCTATGTGTAGCATCTGCGTATGAATTCGAATTATCTTCAATACATCTTTCCGCGATGACTTTTGCATGCGGAATGACTGTTCTGAATGCATCATCATCCAAATTCAGCAATGTGTAGAGAGCTCCGTAAAGAGCAGGGTAGTTTGTCTCTGGATTGAAGGAAACTCCGACAAGTTGATTGAATATCTCTGTTCTGATGCCAGGATATTCCGAACTAGCACGTTTTATCAACGCTATGATGATATCTCCGGCTGTTTGTCGTATACATTCGTCATTTATTAAATTATTCGTAACAACGACTGTTTGTGATAAAGTAAACGCGATTTTGAGGAATGAATGGACATATAATGATATCGGGAGGTAAGTATTGCTGACTAACGCAAGAGTTGCCCGTGCAACTGGAATCATTCGAGAAGAATTGTCAAGATACTCTGCAATTTCGGCGTAGAAGTATTTCAGGAAGAAAGGAAGTAAAGGAGCAGTTCCAATGTCTGTTTGGAGCTTCGGATAAACAAATTCGAGAGTATCGAAGTTTTCGGACGATAAAATGTCAGTAGCATCATTGAAATAGTCAATCAGGTCTTCAGGAAGCGAAAGCTTGGTGTTTTCGGCTTTCGTAGAAAAATCAGTATTTTGAGCGAATTGGTTAGCAAAAATGTTTGTTATCGGAGCGATCATGCCAACCTTATCGGTATTGAATGAGTTCTTCATTGCTGCTTCATCGAATTTTGCCCCATTTACCATTTTCCATTGGAATTTGAAATGGCTTGCTCTTTGAGGCTCTTTCTGTACTTCTTGTGTAATATTTTGTAGAGGAACTTTTGTATCTTCGGCAAAATAAATAATAGATTTATCTGGAGCAGTGATTTGTTGAATGTCGTAATCATCTCGCTCTGAATAGCCCAAAAGTATGTTCTGTTGGAAGTACGGAAGTACAGAATTAATATGTTCGCAAGTTAATCGCTTTGAGTTTGTAATTTGCTTTAATAACACTATCGGCTGTATTAATTGACTAATTCTGAATTCAGCATCTTGAGCAAGTCCTTGGGCAACATCTGGCCTAGCAAATTGTATACCCAATGCGTTCGCTGCAGCATTAACGGCAGCAACTGATGGATCGCTCATTTTAAAAACCGCCAAATTCAAAAGGTGACATCACTCATATAGAGAAACATCATTTTCATCAACTAGGAATATGAAATATTTATATAGCTTTATTAATCAATCATGTTCATAAAGAAAGCTATTCATTTATGTCCAAATACTGATTTCGTATCATGTTCTATAAAGTTTGGAAAGAAATTACAAAGCGTAATATATAGACCAATAAAAATAATATAAATAAACGTTTCAATTTAATATTAGAATATAGTTTATACAAATTTGAATTCACAATTTAGATGGATATGTAATATTACAGTCTCATCATATAGTGTATGACATTAACATCATATATATAAGTGTTGAAACTAATCAAATAGATCAGTTAACATTGAGAAATCATAGGAAATTTTGAATTTGCAAACGATTAAAGAAATCGGTTGTAATTTGGACATATGTAAACTCTACCCAAATTGTAAATAATTTTTTAAATCTTTGTTTCATATGGTTTCTAATATTTAGTTTATCAATTGAAAATGTTTGCGTAATTAAAGAGTTAAATTCAAAAAAAGCGAATGTAGATAATACACAAACTTAAAAGCAAAATGCTGCTTTTCTAGCTTTACTTTTTATTTCAAAAAGAGAGATATGAAAGGAGAAAAATATGAGACTGAAATTTCAGCACGATGGATATATTTGCATGAAAATGATAAACCACAATCATCTTTGAATGCAATCGAAGGGATCTTCCCTTGCTCCATGATGACATTCTGAGCACTCGATGGAGCGGAGAATGAACCGCATTTGCGGAGAAGGTAGCAGCCATCAAAAGCCTGGTCTCCTATGGTTTTGATGCTGGATGATGAGAAGAAGACGAAATTGAGGTTTTTACAGTCTTTGAATGCTTTGTAGTCTATTGTCTGGATATTGTTGCCGTTGAAGAAAACTCTGATAAGTGATGGACTGCCCATGAAGGCGCATCGTCCAATAGTTCTCATTGTCATTGGAACAATGAAGTTCTTGACTCCACTATAAGGAAGGAAAACAATGAGATTTGTTTGATTGTAGTCAGTGAGTGCACCATTCTCAAAGCGATATCTTTTGTCAGATGGAGGTAGTGTGATTGTAGTGAGTTTGAAACATTCGTAGAAACAGCCACCATCAACCTGCGATAGTATGCAATCACCACCCATGTTTACAGTGGAAAGGGATGTGCATGACTGGAATGCAAAACCTTGAATATTTGTAAGAGTATTAGGAATTGTGAATCCTTGGAGAGATGTGCACCCATCGAATGCATATTGACCAATCACTGAGACTCCGGGCTTTAGAATGAGAGTTTCCAGAGATACACAGTACTGACAGAGCTGCTGAGGAATAGAAGAACTAATTGTGAGTTCCCTGATTGATGTGCCCATGAAACACTTGATGTCAACTGTGCAGCCACTGTTTGCAAGAATTGCTGAGGTGAGACCACTGTAGTAGAATGCATAGGCACCAACTGAAATTAGACTGGTCATACTACCGATGCCGATATCGCCAATGCGTGGACAGTTCGCAAAGGCATATTCTCCAATACTTTCAATAGATGAAGGAAGGGTGATGTGTTCAAGATTTTGGTTGTTTTTGAAACAATAGTTTGGAATGAATTTTATTTTGTTTCCTTTGAAAATGACATTTTTCAGAGATCCACAATCATCAAAGGCATTCTCTCCGATAGATATTAGTCCTGGTGGAAAAACAATTGATCTTATAGTTGAAGATTTAAAAGCCTGTTTTCCGATAGTGATGCTGATTTCGGCATCTTCACTCAGGAAAGTAACATCTCTAAGTTTTTTGTTGTAAAATGTAAGATCACTCACACTTTTATAATCACTTATAATAGAAATATCATTGTTTGTATTTGAGCCCGTATATAAAATCAATGTTTCTTTATTGTTTTTGTATGTTAGGAAGTTTTCTGAATAAAAAGCAGGACTCAATGAAGTGATGTTAATTTCACCAGTATTAGAGAAGGCTCCATCACCTAGTTCTGTCAATGTTTTAGGAAGTGTTATTGATTTAAGTGAAATACAGCCAAGGAAAGCGCCAGCACCTATTGACGTCAAGTTTGAAGAAATGTTTATGTATTTCAAATTTTCACAATATGAAAACATATTCGGAGGAATTCCCGTCATTTTTTCACTTAATGTTACTGATATTAATTTAGTACAATATCCAAATATCCATGTTCCAATTGATGTAATTTGATCTGTGAAAACAAATTCTGTTATTGTAGTAGCAGAAAAGCACCAAGATTCAAGAATTGTTACATTGGATGTCAAAACAATTTTGTTTACTTTTCCATTTCTAAAGGCAGAAGCACCAATCTTCTTAATAAATGATGGAACATAATATGTTCCTGTGATAGTTGAACTCACAAATAAAATAGTAGAAAAATCTGGCCCAGAAAAAATTGAAGTTCCATCTGTTTTGAAATATGGATTTTTACTATCAATAGTAATACTAATTATTGGGCAACCTCGGAGGCAGGAACCATCTATATCTGCCAATTTTGAAGGTATTGTAAAGTATTTTAATTTAGTTGATGTATAGATACAAGGTGATGTGAATTTTGCATCCCTGGGATGGACGATACACCCAAAGTGTCACCTTTTTGGGATAACAAAAATTTATATATATGAGAGTTCTGCAAATCATATGCACAATATATTCTGCCTGATTTCTTGTATATAGGAGTCAGGCTGAATAGATATTGTGCATGTGGCATATAAGTTTTCCGAGATTGCTCGTGCGCTATAGTACACTACTTCTCCTTGGTCCTAGCTCGTTTCCAAGGATATCGGTGTTCAAGGATTTGCAAGGTCCTTCTGAAGTCTCTCATTCGATGAGAGATTTCGGAAGAACCTTGCCTTAGAGTATTCCAACTCTTGTTCTCTTGTCCCTGAATAGTCAGAAAAGCTATTTGACTACTTAAGGCAGAGATTATCCGAGGTCCCTCATTTGATGAGAGGCCTCGGATAATCTCTGCCTTAAAGTTGTACACTTGTAGTCCATCAGAATGTAAGTATACACGGATAGGACAGCTTTCTTCTGAAGTCTTAGATTTGATGAGAAGCCTCAGAAGAAAACTGTCCTATTTTATAATAGGAGGAGTTTCAGAAGCTCCAGAGCTCCCTTTCGTAAGGAATAGGAGCTTTGGAGCTCCTGGTTCGAAGATGTGCTTCGCATCTTTCATCAGCATAGGATATTTATCAACTGGGACTCTGTTGATGAAGACTCAGGAGCTCCAAAGCTCCCTTTCGTAAGGATTAGGAGCTTTGGAGCTCCTGGTTCGTAGATGGGCTTCGCATCTTTCATCAAAAGAGGCCCAAATGGTAAATATCCTCTGCTGATGAGCTTCAGGAGCTCCAAGGCTCCCTCTCGTAACGATTAGGAGCTTTGTAGCTCCTGAAGGTAAAGTAGGATTGCTCTGATCTCTAATCAGTAGATGCCATGCCTCATTATGGACTCTACTGACAAGAGATCAAGAGCTCCAAGGACTCCCTTTTTAGCTAGTGGCATTCTCACCATTTAGTAGGATCGCTGATCCTACTAATGAAGTGATCACTTAATATACGTTTTGAATAAATTGAATTTTTTTACAAAAATTTAGTATTTTTTATAAACATCACATATATATTATAAATACGTAAATATATTCTTTAATTCAAAAAATTCAATTCGGTTTCGGGCTGGGTATCCCAGCCCCAAGTATTCAATTTTATTCAATTTTTTTAGAATTTTGGGTTGGGGTGCCCAGACCAAAACAAACTTTATAGTTTGATGTGTAGATGCGTATGTGTACATCATTATTGCGTTATATATTATATTTTTAATGAAAAAAAATCTGATTCAAAAAAAATTATCACTAATTAGTTGATAATATAAAGAAAAAATATATAAATTGTATGTTTTGAGAGTATTTATCCACATTCACTCATATGAATTTCATTAAATAGTGTCTTTTTACTCCAAAATTTATTTTGAATTATTGAAATCAAAGAAAAAAAACTAGAAAAATTTCTCGAAATTTTTATTTTTAAAAAAATTTTGGATTTTATATTAAAAACTGACACTGGGAGGATGATAGGGCTGGGATTAGAGATACCCCGCTCACTTGGGAAAAATACGGATCTATAGTTGATGAAAAAGCATCCGATCCAATATAAGTTAGATTCGAATTTTTACTTATTGAAATTTCTTCAATTCCGGAAAAAGAAAATTCACTTGAATCAATGGGATCCCAGCCAGGAATAGTTTCAAGAGAATCAGGAAAATCAATTCTTGTGAGTGACGAAGTTCTAACAAAGCAGCCAGTTCCTAGAGCAGTGATGCAAGGTGGCAATATTATTGATTTTAGTTTTGTGCAGTTAAAAAATGCTCTATTGTTAAGTTTTAATAGCTTTCTGCATTCACCCATATCCACTGTAACTAATGCTGATTCTGAGAAACAGCCATAACAAAGTGATGTTAAAAGACTTCCTGTGCCAAATATAATAGATGTGATCGAATTCCTGCATAAGTAGAATGGACTTAATTCAACTTTTGCGCCTCCTTGGATTGTAGTACATTCCGATAGGATTAAATATTCTCCACTAAGTTCTTTTGGAGCAGATTTAAGTATTTTCTTATCATCAGAGTAAGTAACACCTCTTTTATCATCATATATAAGTAAAAATAAAAGAATATGACTCAGAAAATAATGTGATTAGCTACATCAAATAATTAACCTTAAAATAGGATCCAATAAATATAGGATGTGTAATAAACAGAAATTCATCAAAAGTGACAGCTCTCAATTTTTTGACATTTGTAAATTCTAAATTGAATGAGAAAAATGAAATAATACTAAGCATAATACAATATTCTAGATTTAATTATAATTAGGAAAAAGTTAGTTTTGAGAGTACTTTTCATAGGCATATAGAATGAAATCTTCTGAAAAATAATATCACATAAACTCATATTATTTTCTAATATATAACTATTTTATATAAAAATCAAATTCAATGATCTTAAAAGCGAAGGATAAACCTCAAAATTTACGAATATAATGAGTGGGAATATAATGCTTATCTATCATAAAACCATATGAAATATCAATTTTTGCTTTACGCCTAATTTTTGACGACAATTAGCAAAAAATGTGGCGGAGGTTTTTGTGATATGGAAAAATGTTCGTTGCTCAATTATCTCACTATTGGATGGACTTTTATCGAGCGAAATTTTGGCTGTAAAGACAATTCTGATATTGGTAACATGGTGATAAGAACAAATAGTCAGTTTGCATGGTTTATGATGAGATAATTTCGATTTAAAAAAAAACATAAAAATTGATTTTAATGAGCGATTATATTTGAATATGCTCTCCTAATTTGAAGGAACTGGTTAAATCATGAATTGATCATGAATAATTTTTTTTCAAAATAACAATTATAATTTCATATTCATTATAAGTTGAAAATATATCATAAAGACTTTATGAATGATAAATTCCTAAAAAACAAGTTAGTTTGTTTCTGAAAATAATAATAATAAAAACCAATTTAGACCCAATAATTTTTGGCGGGATAATTGAGATGTTACGATTGAATTAAAAAAAAAGCGGTAATACATTTTTACAATGATGAAGAGGCTGGCAACCTCTGAGTCAAAGCACTTGTTAATGCAATGATGAAGAGGCTGGCAACCTCTGAGTCAAAGCACTTGTTAATGCAATGATGAAGAGGCTGGCAACCTCTAAGTCAAAGCATTTGTTAATGCAATGATGAAGAGGCTGGCAACCTCTGAGTCAAAGCACTTGTTAATGCAATGATGAAGAGGCTGGCAACCTCTGAGTCAAAGCATTTGTTAATGCAATGATGAAGAGGCTGGCAACCTCTAAGTCAAAGCACTTGTTAATGCAATGATGAAGAGGCTGGCAACCTCTGAGTCAAAGCATTTGTTAATGCAATGATGAAGAGGCTGGCAACCTCTGAGTCAAAGCACTTGTTAATGCAATGATGAAGAGGCTGGCAACATCTGAGTCGAAGCACTTGTTAATGCAATGATGAAGAGGCTGGCAACCTCTGAGTCAAAGCACTTGTTAATGCAATGATGAAGAGGCTGGCAACATCTGAGTTAAAATACTTTTCCCAGTGTGGGAGTAATTTGAAAAAAAAAATTTAGTTCATATATTGAAAAAAACAAAAGTAAAAATTAAAGTTTATAGGTTGTGTTTTGATGAGCTAATTGTTAAGATATTGTAGTTCTAAAGAAAAATTGTAGTTTCGAGGAAGTTTCTCGACAGAGGAAACTTTCATATCGAATGTTGCCTCTGTCGAGATGTATGTGACAGGCAAAGTGCAATCACCTATCAATATTGCACTTTGCCTGTCAAAAGTTCTTCGCATCTCTTGAGGTGTGAGGAAGTTTCTCGACAGAGGAAACTTTCATATCGAATGTTGCCTCTGTCGAGATGTATGTGACAGGCAAAGTGCAATCACCTATCAATATTGCACTTTGCCTGTCAAAAGTTCTTCGCATCTCTTGAGGTGTGAGGAAGTTTCTCGACAGAGGAAACTTTCATATCGAATGTTGCCTCTGTCGAGATGTATGTGACAGGCAAAGTGCAATCACCTATCAATATTGCACTTTGCCTGTCAAAAGTTCTTCGCATCTCTTGAGGTGTGAGGAAGTTTCTCGACAGAGGAAACTTTCATATCGAATGTTGCCTCTGTCGAGATGTATGTGACAGGCAAAGTGCAATCACCTATCAATATTGCACTTTGCCTGTCAAAAGTTCTTCGCATCTCTTGAGGTGTGAGGAAGTTTCTCGACAGAGGAAACTTTCATATCGAATGTTGCCTCTGTCGAGATGTATGTGACAGGCAAAGTGCAATCACCTATCAATATTGCACTTTGCCTGTCAAAAGTTCTTCGCATCTCTTGAGTGTGAGGAAGTTTCTCGACAGAGGAAACTTTCATATCGAATGTTGCCTCTGTCGAGATGTATGTGACAGGCAAAGTGCAATCACCTATCAATATTGCACTTTGCCTGTCAAAAGTTCTTCGCATCTCTTGAGGTGTGAGGAAGTTTCTCGACAGAGGAAACTTTCATATCGAATGTTGCCTCTGTCGAGATGTATGTGACAGG